TGGGTTTATTCTTTTGGTAACAGACCTTAAAGAAATGATTATAATTCAACTTTTCAAAATAATTCTGGAATAAATACTATTCCCACCCCCCATCTTACTCTATTCTGGCTGCTATAACAAAATGCCAGACCAGGGAGCTTACAGCCAACAAAAAACGGACTGCTCACAGATGTGGAGGCTGCGAAGCCCAAGATCAAGGTGCTGGCAGATTCCTATCTGTGCAGGTTCACATTCTCAGAGTCAGGAACCTGCTGGGGCACAGGGTGGAAGTGCTGAGGGTCTTCCACAGGCCTCTTTTATAAGAGTACTAATCCCATTCATGAGACGTCTACCTCCACGACCCATCACCTCCCCAAGGTCCCACTTCCTGACACCATCACCTTTGGTGTAAAGATTTCAGCACATGAATTTTAGGGGACACAAAGATTCAGAGCCACAGCGCCTTCTCACCCATGCCATACACAATTCAAAATGGAAACAATGATCATCTTTGATTTACTTGATGGTCTTCATAGTCTTGCTTAGTGAGCTTGAATACCCTCATGTTTTAAACTGCCTTTTGTTATCAGTAAACTCATTTTTTTCTTAAAGATTCCAGCTGCTGGGTTTTTTTGTTTTTTTTTTTGTTTTTTTTTTTTTGAGACAGGGTCTCACTATGCAGGTCCGGCTGGCCTGGAACTCACAAGGATCCTCCTGCCTCAGCCTCCCAAGTGCTGGGATTATAGGCGTGTGCCACCACACCTGGCCTGGGTGTATGTATAGCGCAGTGGTACAGCACTTGCCAAGCACGTGCAAGGTAAGTCCTGGGTTCAAACCCCAGAACAACAACAACAACAAATCCTACTGCTAACTTAGTAATGATTCATTCTTAATGTTTCAGACACCAACCAAATAAGAACCAACTCTGTTTGCTATAATTTGAACACACCTGGTGAACTGTCAGCCTTATGGCATAAGGCAACAACCACAACAAAACCAACACTGAAGAGTTTTATTAATGAAAAACAATACTCGTATAATTTATTAACAAAATGCACACAGTAATATTTGTACAATTCCTTCTCTATAAATGTTGCCTGCTAACTATCTCTTATAGACAAGCAGACATACTTCACAATCTTTCTGATAAATATATTGCTGCGTGGCATCCGGCTTGGATAGCACCCTTCAAGACGGCATATGCTGGGGCCTATTAAAAAGAACAAGAGCTGTGGGCGTAGCTCAGTGACAGAGGGCTCGCCTCGCACACCTGGGGCCCTGGGTTCAGTCCTGAGGACTGGGCGAGCATGAGCACACGCGCATGCATGCACACACTCAGAAAGCAACTGAAGAAACACGCTGTATGTTCAGTTTGGGTTGTAAACTGAACATATGGCTTCTCTGGATAAAAAAATGAGATCTGAGAAGCAATTTATTTTAATTTGGAGGAAAAACCTATTCAAAAGATCGGAATGTGTCTGCTACGGCCAAAACACTGGAAGCATTCAGTTTCTCACAGAAAAGGGGAAAGTGGCCCGTGGGGAAAGGACGAGGGATAGAACATGCAACAGGACTCCCACTCTCGGCTGTCTGCTTTGTATCACATGACCAGCCTGCCGGCTCTTGTCTATCGTTTAAGAATGTACGTGGAAACAGAAGCCTCTCCTCCTCAGCATGCCAAATAAGGACCCCCAAGTACCATGAGTAACCGCAGGTCCCTACCAATTCCGCGTCGTGGTGAAGGCCTGTGTCATGGTGCTCAAGCTCTTCATCTCGAAACTTCTTTATCAGCTGGTTAAGTAAGAAGAGATCAAAGCAAGTCATTATATTGTCATCTAAGGCCAAGGTAGATGTACTAGTCCTATGCAGGGCCAGAGAGTAAAACCTTTTTCAAACCTTTTTTTTTAAAAAAAAACTTTTCACACACACACTCCATTTTGATCTTATCCATCCCCCTTATTACTCTCCCTTACACCCCTTCAGCACCCCCATCTATTCCTCTTGTCTAACAATAGTCAGAGAGGAAAGATTTCAAGCTGCAGGCTGTATAGTCTCAGCTGTAACTACAGTACTCCGCTCTGCAGCTGTAGCAGGTAAAGCAGGCCCCATACGCAAATGATGGGTGTGGTCAGGTTCCCATGCAACTTTATTTACAGAAACAGGCACGGTCGGTCGCAGGCCAGAGTTTGCCAACATCTAATTTAGACTTTCGAAATTAAATAGTTCCTTTAGAGCTAGGTGTTCTGATATGCCTGGAATCCCAGCTACTCAGGAGGCTGAGGCAGGAACATCACATGAACCTAGGAGTTTGAGACCAGCAGCCTGGGTAACGTTATAAAATACAGTCTCCAAAAACAAAACACAACAAAAACTAAACTAAAAAATTAAAGTTCCCTTATTTGTTGTGAAAAGACACCTGAGGCTATCTGTTACCTCACACATTTCATCTAAATCATCGCAGTCACAGCATTTGCTCAGAAGCTACCAACGATACAGACGTGGAGAGAAACACAGGCTTGGGCTCAGGACCTGCAGGTTCTAGTCTTCACTCTGTCTGAGCTGTGCGACGAGGGCAGACAGCTCCACCTCGGTCCCTTAGTTTGTGCACTTTTAAAATGAGTTGCCAACCTTGAAGTCTAAGTCTCCATCATCCTCTAAAATTCCTGCATATTTTCCTTTTAGCAACTGCTACTGTACATCTGCCCTTTCTCCCCTCACACAGCCCGTTTGCAGCAGAGGCAATCCATTACCTGCAGAAGTTCCTCGTATTTTTCAGGGCCCTCCTCCATTAGCGTCCTGATCTGGTTGTTATAGTGATGTGCTATGGTCTCTTCCACTGCCACGGTGCAGGCCATCGCGCCTTCCTTCCCAAGCAGGGCAGTTCCTGCTCCTGGAATTGTCAAACCCAGGAGTAAACGATGGGACCCAGACCACTGGGAAGGCAGATCAGTTAGGCCAAGCTTTCTCAGCCTCGGCACCGCTGTGTACTGTTGGATATCTAGCAGCTTCCTTGATAGCTAACAACTAGATGCCAGTAGCCCTCCCTAAATTGTGACCCACTGAAAATATGTCAGGGGGCAAAGTCACCCAGGGTGGAGGGTGGTAGCAGGTCCAGTTAAACCCTGAGGCACACAATAAGAAAGCTCGTCCCTTTCAATACATTTTCAGTCTTCTAAGTACATCAAGAGGAAGGGCATTTGGGCTGAATATGTCTTTGATTCTCTACACTACTTTTCTTTAGTCTCCCTTTTCAAAAGGACCAGTAGATGTCAGGTTTAGAATCTGCGTCAGAGAAGAGTACAGGGCTGCAGTTGAATTATGCCAGCTTATTCCCTGCATTACGTTTTATCATCCTTTCTATTCGTAAAAGTACTGAGGCTATCTTAAAGAAATTTAAGCAAAAAGAAAAAGAGAAATTCAACCTATTTAACTCTAGGAAAATATAAGTAAATTAAACAGGTTGCACAGAACAGGGCAAGAACTCTGGATGAGGTACCAGGATGACTCATCGCCCGCATCCCTGAGCCCACGGGCGCCTCTGAAGATACACACCCAGCGCAAAGCCCATCACATTCCAGAGAGGCATCAGGACTGTCGGCCGGACCCTGAATGCAACCATCAACTCGTTGAACTTTTTCAAATGGGCCTTTTCTTGATCCCACATTTTCTGTAAGAAACAAAAATGGAGACAGGCAAGCATTCAACGGGCCTCCTGCTGTACCCGAAGAAGGCTAAGGGCCTAACTGTGGAAGCAAAGTGTAAGTGGAGGAGATGACGAGGACTGCTGGCTTCTCCATTTCTGTAAAACACCTGATGAGAAAGAAGTTCTGGAGCACTTGTGGAAGTCCTCTTATGCGTCTTTAGGAGGTATGATAAAAAAATGGTGAATGCTGCTGCCAAGTGCCCACCAAAGGAAAGGCAGGCTCAGAAAAGCCATTAGCGTGTGTCTCACCCACCATCCGCGCATCCAACACCACACAACCGCTGGGCCTTCCCTAAGGTCAACATGACCACGAAAGGTAAACCTTTTGACATCCAGGCAGCCATGACACCACACCTAAAAACTCTCACAAAAGAGGACTTCACAGCCTCCTCGGACAGTGGCAAGGATCAGGAGATAACTGTGTTCGGGGGGATTAACGGAAATGTCTTTTACTGTAGTAATTTTTAACATTTTAATGTTCACTGTATTTTTTCAATTATATCTCGTGTATCTATCTGTGTTTTATACAAAAAACAGTAACGTGCTTTCTGCTTGCCATTTCCCCTGAGAACCAATTTTCATTCTCAAGGATAGCAGTACCTCTCTTGGGAACGCATGACCTAATGTGATGATTGTAGGGCTTCAGATCTACCAATTCAGGAGACTGCACTACAAAGAGAAAGAGGTGCCCACCTGAATGACTGGCCCAACGCTTGTCCGGCCCAGGACGGCCATCTGCCCTGCGAGGATGCGATTTGCTCCATATTCACCCGCATGATCCACCCGGATCATTCGATCCACAGCTGCGCGGTTGATGTTGTCTAAGGTCATTCTTGAACTGCAAAATCTGATGCTGATTTTTTTCCCATAAGCTGCAATGCAAATGTAAATTCTTCCTTACTCTCAGGAAAAATCAAGCTGTTTTCTTTTATAGCCAGACAAAAGGGGCACTTTAGAACAAAGGTCCTGAATGAGCTTTCTGAGGGCTGGACATGCCCCTGTGTATTCCGTTTCCCCAGCATTGTTAACGTAGGGATTTTACCTGAAGGTCTGGGTTTCTGGCATCACCTGAAATGTATGGAGGTCTGCAAATGTTAAGCCTGTGTTCCTGCCTGGCAGACAATGTGACAGCTGCTTCAAGAAGGGCATGTTGTCCACTTCCCCCAGCCTTTCCACTGCTTTCCTCAACTCGGGCCACGGATGGCCTGAAAAAACTCTCCATAGGTCTCCTCAGCCAAAGTTAAGAACCACAAATTTAAGTTCTCTTAAAATGCCAGACCCTGAAGGCATTTGATTTTGCAAGCCCCGCCTTAGAAGTTTTTTCTCATGGTCTACATGTACGTTCTTCTTGTCTTCAAACAGACATTCTTCAGGACAGACTGAATTTAATCTGTTTTAAAATATCAAATGGTTAATGCCTGAATTATATTTTCTTTGAGCCCTAAATCAGGGAATTCTAAATGGTAATTTTTTCTCCAACAGAAGGGTTTTTTAGCATGCTTAGAGAAGAGGCAAGGGTTTTTTAGCATGCTTAGAGAAGAGGCATGTTCATCTACAGATATAAAAATGGAGACCAGAGGTTCTCTCGCTGCAATGTCCACTTTGACCTGCATGAGTATCACCCTGACATATATTTCAGTGCTCTTAAACTGTGGCTGCCATTTCTGTTTTTAGATCATTTTTTCACTGAGGCTAACTTCAACAGCCAGAAAATGTGAGAGAAAAATCATTTTGTGTATTTCTACGGTTCTTTCATTAAAAAGGCTGGAGGGACACAAGGTCCCAGGGTAGATTTGGTGGAATTTATGGTGGTTGTGAACTTGAACTTTTCTACATAATGGAGTTTAAATGCTACACCTGAAACAAAGGAGCATGGACATGGGGTTCTGAGCTCACTTTGTAGCTCAGGCTGGTCTCGAACTCGGTGATCCTCCTGCCTCAGCCTCCCAACTGCTGGGATTATAGGTGTGCGCCACCACACCTGGCCTGCATGACCAGTTTTATGTGGAGAACAAGTTGAGACCTTGGACAAAGTCAAGGTGTCCTGTCAACTTTTTGCCTCCAAGTCTGACGGACAGTACTTCCAGTAGACTCATTTCCTTGTAGAAAGATGGAGTTTAGCAATGGAAGTTGATGAGCGGGCTCTGTTTCTCAAAATAATCTTGTCTGTTTATTCTTTCACTTGTTATCACCAAATACATGTTAATGGGGAAAAAAGAGACAACCTAGGACTCTTAAAAAACAAAATTTTTATTAAGAAGGAGCAAGAGATGGCGTATGCAGGATGAATTCAAACACACAACTGACTTTTTATAGGCAAAGGGAGGATTATGCTTGCACGCGAAGTTCACTATACTGTTTCCTTACATTACGTCCTACTTCCAAGTTTAGGAATGCAATAAATGACTTTTTTGAGGACTGGAGTGAAGGGCTTGGGTAGGACAGTATCTGACATTTCTGTCTTTTGCAATCTCTACAAGATATTCCTATGGCCATAGGATGGGCTACAGAAAGGCCTAGACCTACAGTTAGCAAATGCATGTCCTTGGGTCTGCAGGTAGGAATCACTTTTGCTGCAAAAAATAAAAGGATTATGTGCAATTAAAAAAGCAAAAAAAAAAAAAGAAAATTTATGTCAAATCTCTAACACGAATCTTGAACCAATCAGAATAGACTTTTTTACATATAAAATTCCCAATATCAGGCTATTTTCTTTTTAAGGGAAAGTATACCATAAAGCTTTTCTTACTGGGTTATCATGAGCATGAAAGGAGATGCAGGAAACGAGGTAACTTTATAAATAAAAATGAATGATTATTTTTGGTTATGCTCACTGACTTAGCAGGGGAGTACTGAACACTCCACAATCCTCTGTTCTGACTGTAGTGTTACAAGATTTAAAATAAAATTGAGGCCCAGTACTAGAAGTGCTCAGATTTATCACTTTATTCTTGTTTTCCCAATGTGTGGGACATGCTAATGGTAGTAGCTAGGTGATTTTTAGTATACTGAAGACTTTAAGCGGCTGTGGCTATGTATTAAACAACACCCATGTAGTTACAAGCTACTCTTTCAAATTCTCTAACCCCTGTGATACACCAAGGAAAATATTCCTATTTACATATGGTATACCCCAAACCCTTTCCTAATACTAATTTAACCTAACCCTTTTTCTCAACAGACAGTCTTGGGGTCAAGCCTTGCTAGCTAACAGTATCTAATACAATTTCCTAAGTTTTTCCCTTCAGTATACTTCTTTCATGATTACTCATGCCTTTGGGGCACACACACTGACTTTCCCTTTACCATAAAGATTCAGTTTCTGTGAAATTACTTAATTTTAAAATGGTTCACCGTTATACAAAGAACACATAGAAGAATCAAAAGTACAAGCGGTAGCTAATAAGGCAAAACTCTTGAAGGTGATACAGAAAGATTTTACTCTGAGCACCAAATCGATCTCACAGTTTTCTGAGGCAGCTAGGATGAAAAACCGAAACTCAATCCAAACCCATGTCTCTCCACTCCAAATCCAACGCTTCTTTCCACCACTACACCGGTCATTCTCAAACTTTACAGTGAACATCTCAAAGTACTGATGAAACACGGGCATCCATACGTAGGTCCTGGTTGGGACGTGAGACTATGCATTTCTAACAAGTTCCCAGGGGAAGCCGGGGCACGCTTTGCCTGAAACACCGTGGGCAAAGACAAAAGATGACACCTGGGTCCCTGAACTTCCAACGCTGCGAACTGTCCTCGGCCTGGGACGCTGACCACACCTGCAGTGACGCTACGGCACAGGTATGTAGTCAGGTCATTTCCCCAACTCGTCAAAACTGACCGGACAAAACCGGGCGTGGTGGCGCACGCCTGTAATCCCAGCACTAGCGAGGCTGAGGCAGGAGGATCACTGTAAGTTCAAGACCATCCTGGGCTACAAAGTGAGCTCAAGGCCAACGTGAACTGCATAGCGAGACTCTGACTCAAAAAGCCAAAAAAATTAAAAAAAAAAAATAATAATTTAAACCTGACCGGACGTCCCAAGCGTCACAGGCGAATCCCAGCCCCCACCCCATCTTCACCCTCGGGGTACTATGAGCCCCGCCCCGAGGCTAACGTCATGCAGTAGCGCTCCGTCGCACACCAGTGACGTATACGAGTGTCTCTCCACTTGACCTCTGCGACCGCAGGCTGGAGCCAAAATTCCAGGCTCACCAACCCTGCACAGGACTCCAGCCGCGCGTCTCTCTTTACCTGACAGGGGCCACCAGGCACCCGTGCACAGCCTCCATAGCGTAGGAGCTGCTGCCGACCCGGTGCAAATCATTGCCCGGACAACAAAAGCAGCCGCTCGGTTGAGCGCGGTGGGCCAATCGTGGTCTTGGAGCAGGCTGATGACGCAGGCGGATGTAAGGAAGCCGCTAATCGCTCTGGCACTAGTGAAACGCCCTTAGGCACACGCTTCCTTTCGATTGGTAGGAAATGTAAGTGAATGTATTCTATTGGAGCATTGTTTATCAATTACTGTAAGAGCCTTAGGTTGCTATAGAGGTGAGAACGCTAAATTGCTTTTTCAAAACTCCAGACAGGATCAAGTTCCCTCACCTAGATTCTTGGGAAAGAGGACCGAGAGTTGACAGAGCCATGATATTTTCTGTTTTACGTGGAGGGAGTTGTTTTTTTTTTTTTTTTAAAGTGTATTCGTATCTTACATATAAAAACAGGAATTACATACTGAAAGTCAGCAGAGTCAATAGTTACTACCAGGTGGACTAACAGCTAACTTGAAACTTCTTCCTAGTCCTTCTCCCGATTTTCTGATTTTTACTGGGCGTATGTAGTGTACCCACTTTACTGTATGTGTTCTTGTGCATGGATACTGGCGCAAATTTGTTTTTGTTGTTGAGGGGAAAGGAAATGTAGCAACATATACTTTTAAAAGCGCATATCCATTAATATTGTGGGCCTACTTCTAGAGCCCTGCCCAACAGATACAATTTTTCAAACGAGAAATGTTTCTAAGTGAGGGCAGAAAAAAAATCAAAAGGTGCATGTCTGGCCTGGTGTGGTGGCACATGCCAATCTCAGCACTCAGGAAACTGAAGCTTGAGGATCGTCAAACTCAAGGCCAGCCTGAATTATATATCGAGGTCCTGTCTCAAAAAAAAAAAAAGGTGTATCTGTAAGGATACAACAACAAAAGTTAATACTTGTTATGGTTTGTGTCTGCATGTTCCCCCAAATCCTCATGCAGTCATGGGGTGGCTCCTAGATTTTTGATTGATCCATAGTCCAATGCTGGGATATGGGTGTGAGTGCTACACCGGCCCTGGGGCGGGTAGTTTGCATATAGTGTAAGGGAGGGAAAGAGGCTGCTCGCTGTTCCTCCCTTCTTTGCTGTTTTCAGCCACCATGAACCGTTGCTGTCTACCATGTGCCACTCTGCCTTGGAGCCAGCCCAGTATGGACTGAAATCTCCACAGACTGTGAGCTAAATACACCTTTCCTTCCTTAATTTTGGGTGTCGGGTATTTTCTCCCAGCAACGAGAGAAAAGTAACCAAGACAGTACTGTACTGGTGAACATCAGAAAGTTGAGATTTTCAAATGGGAGCTTTCAATTTACTTTTGGATTATTTACGTTTCCCAAGTTATTTCTGGTACTGGAGATTTTTTATTTTGATGCAGGGTGTCACTAAATTCTAGGTTATCCAGGCTAGACGAAATTAGGATCCTCATGCCACAGCCTTCCACGGTGCTGGAATTACAGGTACATTCCAGTATACTTGGCTTATTAAATTGCTGATTTTATATAACTCTGCAGTGTTTAAATTGGCACAGTACAATAATCTAAAATCATAAGCCAGGCATGGTGGTGCACACCTGTAATCCCAGCACTCAGGAGGTGAGGCAGAAGGATCATTGCAAATTCAAGACCAGTGTGGGCTACAAAGTGAGCTCAAGACAGCACTGCATAGCAAGACCCTGTCTCAAAAAAAAGACCAAAAAAATAATAATAACTTAAAATTGTGATGAACTCAAAATACTTAATATTTTGTGACAGTCAAGGTGATGTAACATTTTAATGTAAAGCTTGAAAGCATAAATAAAATGGTAGAGCACTTGCCTAACATATGCAAGGCCCTGAGTTTAATTAAAATAAGAAAAATAAATACAACTGGTTCTCAAAAGCTTTAACATGCTCAAAACCCTTGTCATAACATATGTCATAACATATTAAGTGTCATAGTAAGTGCCACTTCTCTGTCCCTAAGGAGAAAAACCACTGACAGAGATTTATGAAATTTTGGAATTAAAGTGTTAAGCAGCCGGGGATATAGCTCAGTGACACAAGTGCTGGCCTGGCAAGCGCAAGGTCCTGAGTTCAATTCCCGGTACCAAAAAAAAAAAAAAGTGTTAAGCAGCAAGGGAATGTTAAAAACTATGATTTGTATGTGTACTATTATATTAGCTAGCTGACTGAAATGTTTGTAAAGAACTTTTGATAACAGAAGGGAGCACAAGTACAAAAGAAGTGAGAATACTAATTTTTTTCCTTTCTTCTTTCAATCTTTCTTACCCCTTAAAAGCAGGTTTGTCAAAATTAACATTGACTGGGGGTCAGGGATGTAGCTCAGTGGCATAAGCACTTGCCTGGCAAGCCTGAGGTCATCAGTTTGATTCTCGGTACCCCCCACCCCCAAAAAAAGAAATTAACAATGTCCATACACGGTGCTCTTATGAGTGATTTTAATGTTTTCCTCTGTGGCTTTCACTGTTCTCCATATTTTCTGTGGTAAACAAGTATTTTTCTAATGAGAAAACAAATTTTCAAAAAGATAAAGCGTACTCTCCCCTAATTCAGCCCTCACATATAAAAGAAAATTTATGTATCATTCTTCTGTTTTAAAGATAAAGGAACTTTAGCTCAGAGAGGTGGAGACATTTGTACAAAATCACCATTAAGCAAGCAGAAAGCCATCACATCTCAAGCAAATGCCGTGCACTGGGCAGGAAGTACGCCAAGTGGGCCTTACTAGTAAAGCCACACACTGTATAAAAGATACATTCAGAAGTTCTCACCTCCCAAAAGTCAAACTTCGTAGGGCAACCTGAAAAATTAATTTCTTTGTCCTCCAGTACTTAACACAACTGAGTGGCTGCAATCAGATCTGTAGCTGCAGGGACAGTATCCTTTGCAAACTAAAGACTTGCCTAACTAGATTCTTCTCTTTGCTGGGATGAGAACATTCTGTGATTACAAGAACCTGCAAGTCTGCCTTTAAGATGAACAAGGGCCTGCAGCAGAAGGGAGCAAAACAAAATTGTCTGCAGGGGAGCTCTTAAAATTCCATCTTTCAGTGCTGATAGAGAGGAAGTGGGACAAAAACAATCCAAGTTTTCATTTGGGGTCACATACATCATGCAATGGAATGCAGTGCGGCCATGAAAAAGAAAAAAGTAGCTGCTTACATGCAAAGATTTTCAAGATATTATTAAGGGGA